CTCCTCTTTTGGACAACAATGTGTCTACATTCATCAAAGTGCCCATATTCATCCTCTACTTTTTCAAAAGGAAGCAAGCTATGGACTTTCAAGAGTCTCCCTCTTTGGAATAAATTAAGGTTACATTTATCCTAAATTAAGTCCAAATTCAACCCAAGAACACTTAATCAACCATATAAAGAGAGAAGAGGAGACAAGCTAATAAAGTGCATTCATCACCATTAAGATGAAACATTCAACACCATTTGTAAGACTCTTCATATGGTGCCTATCCACACTATAAATATGAACTTACATTGCATTTGTAAACATACAATTTGATTTATAAAATACCTTTTGAGAGTTTTCTTTCATTCTAGTTCTTTTGAAGAACTCTATCGGCTTCAAGATAGTCTTGTAGTATGCATCCATTCATTTGTTTATAACGTTGGTTATTAGCTCTTCTATAGCTAATGGGTCGTATTCTATATCCCACCACTTCGTTTCCACCTTATTATATTGTTGGTTCCTAACTTCCATATGGTTAGAGGGTCATAATCTGCAAATCCTTTTAAATTATATAGTCCATGCCACCACCACTACACTTTCCCTACATTTCCTTCATTTCATATAACTACCACATCCATCACTATTCCATAACCTTCAAACTACAACTATACTCCTTACATTTCATCATTTCATTGTTATTCATATCAATTCCTTCTTACACTTTATGTTTATGCAATTTCAGAGTACAAATCTTGTGGAATTAATTTCTTACTAGAATCACGATAGGTCACATTCATATGATTCGATAATCACATAACTGGGATCATATCAATTGGTATCAGATCATTGGCGATTCATTAAAAAGTAGTTTTCCCTCTCCCAGGTCAGTACAAAAAATTAAAAAAACTGAAAAAAGAAAAAAGTGAAAAAGTGAAAAAAATAAGTTTCAAAAGTGGGAGGAATTTTATTTCATAATATCTTAAAACAAACAAATCCTCAAGGTTTGTGATCATTATTATTAATTTAGTTATATTGTCATTTCCTTTTGTTTTCACCTATTTATCTTATTATCTTTCAACCTACCCTACTCCTTACATATATATTTCATATTTTTCTAACCAATTTGTTTCAGCCAAATTCCACAAATTTCCTTGTTGAGCCTAGAGGAAATTCTAATAGGACTTGAAAAAAGAGCAAGAGTGGTAAAAGGAAAGAGTGAAAAACAAGCATAAAAATCATCCCGAGTGAAACAATAATGAAAGTTATTTTTTCTTTGAAGTGTATTGGTGATATTTTTGTGTTGGTGAGGTTTATTCTCATCTTTATTACTAATATTTTCATTATGTCTTGAAAGTACAAAAATTATTATACAAGAGACAACGTATAAGATTTTTCATCAAATTCTCAATTTCAAGATTTCGATCAAGAGATGAGGAGTTTACTCAAAATAAATCTGAAATTAATCTCAAAAAAGTTGGATTGAATAATCGAAAGAGGTTATTGTTCACAAACACCTCCACCGAAGGTCGAAAGGTAAGAAAAGAGGATAAATGATACTAGATCCTTTTCTAATTCTACATCCAAATGGAGCGAAAGATCTTACAAGGATGATTCCAATTTCTGAAAAAGAAACAATGCCATAAGTTCAACGCAAAGTGAGCCAAGTAATGCCGCATTTTTCAATCCATAAAATCTAGATCATATTCAAGAGTGATTTAATGATTTAGTTAAAGAAACATAATTGCAAGAACAACTAGAAAAATGAATTGTTTGCAAGAAAGAACAAGAAACAAAAGTTGAAAAAAGACATTGAGAACGAAAGAAATAAAAGAAAAAGAGTGAAATTGAAAGTGATAATGTGAAAGAAAAACATATTAAAGAAAGGCAAGAGTGTGAGAATGAAAATGAGATTTAAAAAGGGGATAGGTATGAAAAGAAAAAATTGTCGAAGAGAAAAAGAGAAGGAAATTTTATCTTACGCTAATCTTTCTTTTCCTCATAGTCTTGGCTTATCATTGTAGAATCATGAGAAGACTTCAAAGGACGTTCCAAACTCATAAATGGTTATGGAGATAATCAAACATCAACCATGCCTAGATTATATTTCAAGAGAAGATCTAATGAAGTTTTCCATCATCAAGCAACTAGTGTCCATCAAGATCATTAAGCATCCTGCATGGTTTGATATTTCCATTTATTTCGTTATTAAATTATTTACTTCTAACTTTGATTTATTTTTTAGAAGGATGATTCAAAACAAGAAATTGATGTATTGAGTTACAAGGATAAGTTCTTTGCAATCTTGAGATGAAATTGCCACTCTTTATTTTTCAAATAGATGATTTGAAGCAAACACTATCCACCTATTCAAGAGCCATTATAAGGAAGGGCACAAGGATTAAAGGAGTTGGTGTAACCAACCTACTTTAAGGAGTTCAAAGAACATATTCCTATTCAGATGAACAACATGGAAGTGAGGTGTACAAGCAACCAAAACTTAACCTCAAGGAAAAGTGTTTGTGAAAAACAAGAATGAATAAGTTCCCTGTTAAACGGAAGTCAAAATTGTTTTATTTTGTAGCTTTTTTAAAGCAATTTACTTCATTCAAGTGTGCTCATCATTCAATAAAGCTAGTTCACTAATTAAAATATTTCATTGAATAAACTAGTACATTAATTAAACTGGTTTCTTTAATGTTTTTCATGACATTTTATTATTATTATTTTTATTTTTTAGCTTCAACATTTGCTTGTTTTGTGTCTACGTGTGTGAGGGAAGTTGAACAGTCTCAACAGATGCAAGAATATTAGTCATAATGTCTTCCAATTCTAGATGCGATACATAGATGTTTAGTTCTATAAATCAATTGGATATTATTCCTCTATCTCTTAACTTTCCAACGCCTTTTGAATTGCCTAAATCTGATATAGGGAACTTGAAATATGATCGATTTATCGAAGACAATGTAAGATGGAATTTCAGTACGGGAATTGCATGCAAGGAAGGATTGAACATTCAAAGGAATCACCAAATTCACTCATTCAAGTGCATAGACATCCAATATACATTCATCCATGAATGAGGGGTATTAAGAGCAAATAAAGACCTTATTTATGATCCTTTTGAGAGCTTATTCAAATTCTACAAGAGAGATTATAAATATCCAAAAGAGTTATCTTTAGTAGCCTTTTTCACCTAGATTTAGTTTGAACTTGAGCATGTTTAGGAGTATTTTAGGTTTAAAATTAATTAGTTTTGCACATTTCTTGTTAAGAAGATTGTGGGTTGTTAAGGGCACACATTTTTCTTGTTAAGAAGATTGTGGGTTTTTGAGGGCTAAAATCAATTTTTTGTTGTTGAAAACTGTTACACTAATGTTGTAGCATTGCTGGAAATGCTAATCGGGTGCTGCAGTGGTCGTCCAAGCTCCAAACGATTAAAGGAAACTTTTGGATTGGGACAACTGGCTCAGGTAGCTATCATTTGACTGTATATCACCTGAAATGTGGACTTTTTCTATTGAGAGATGAAATCCCCATACAAACTATAAAAGTGGAGTACTTGAGCACAAAAAGTGTGATGTTCAATAGTCTTTTCAAGTACACAATTCTTCACGTTAAATCATCAAACACATGGATGCCTAAGTCCTTTGCTAGGGGTTGCTGCAACATAAGGGAAGCTTGTTGGATAGCTTCAACAGTTAACGGATCTCAATTTAAGGCTTTCTATTGAGAGAGGGGGTGATTTGAATGCTTAAACCTTTGTTGGATGATATTTCAAATTTTATATTTTATGTTTACTTTGATACTCATTTTATGAACTTAGTCCTTTATGATTGTGGGTAGAAGTACTTATAATTAAATATATAGTATTTTGATTAAATTTAGAAGTAGTTTCATTCGATTTTCTATATGCCTTTGTGAGCATTGGTGTTGCTGACTAGCATAGTGTATGCTGAAAAGCATGCAACCAATTGATTAGTTTTGTTAATAACTTGAGCATTTAAGATACGGAACTTGTTAAAGTAGTTCAAGAGGTGTTAATCAATACTGATCACATAAATTGAGTATTGGATGTTTGTATGAGATTTGAAGTTCTTAATATTATATCCATCGATTTGATAGCTGACCACGTGCTTCCTGGAATGTTGTAGCATGAACTGGTATTTTTCTTTATTAATTTTAACATCTTTTCTTTAGTATCTCATACATTTGATAAACCATATTTTTACAAACTCTAATAATGACAATTTGTTCCTTGTGGTTTTGACATTTGCAGCATCAATTGCTACAACTTTATTACTTGAACACTGCGTATACTTACGTTAAATGTTATAACATCTTACATAGCATCAAGTTTTTAACGACGTTGCTGGGAATATCAGTTTGATTTAGAGTTCTTTTAATTTTGCTTACTTGTTTGTTTCCTTTTTTTAGGTATCCTTAGTTTCTATTTTTCCTAGTGTATGCCCCGAAGTGATAACGACTTAGAGCCGTTTGATCCATGGATTGAATGAACATTCTGAAGATGTCGCTATAAAGATGCTATGGCTAGAAGAGGGAATGGTATTTTACCCCGCTTTAGAATGGAGAAAATAATAAGTCGCCAGCTAGCATTGGATTTGGGAAACCATATTAGAACTAGATGATCGAAATCGCCTCATTCGTGAGCATGTGGTGTTAACATTGGATGATTTGCATCCGGGCATTGTGAGGCCAATTATTAATGCTACAAATTTCGAATTAAAGTCAATTATGTTCAAAATGTTACAATCTACGTAATAGTATGGAAGATCTATTCCTGAAGATCCTAGCATTTGAGATCATTTATGGAGGTTTGTGATTCTTTATTTCAGCAAGGTGTTTCGGAGGAGGCGCTGAAGCTATTTTCTTATTCGCTGCGTCATAAGGCATGAGTTTGGTTGGTTTCATTGCCACCAGGTGCTATAGCATCCTATAATGAATTAAAGCATCAATTATTGTTGAGGTTCAACCCATCGGATATGAATACGAAGCTTTGAAACGATTTAACTTCATTCAAGCAGTTGAAAGATGAAAGCTTGTATGAAGCATGAGAAATATTTAAAAAATTGATGTGGAAGTGTCCTATGCATGGATTCCCACACTGGAATCAAATGAAGATGTTTTATAATGGGTTGAATATACATAATCTTATAGTGGTTGATGCTTCAGCAAATTGAGCTTTACTGGATAGAAATACAATGAAGCATATGATATCTTGAAAGAATCTCCACCAATTAATGCCAATACCATAATACGTGCAACACATTTGGTCAGTGTGGTACAACAGTAGTAAACACTGGAAGCTTTCAACTCTATGGCATCTTAGATTTCAGCATTGACTAAAATGGTGAAGAAATTACACAAACCAAGAAGAATGTATGTAGTCAAAGCCGCATCTATTATCACTTGCGTACATTGTGGCAATGACCATAATTTGATGAATGCCTAATGTTACGTAAGATGTTATAGCATTTAACGTAAGTATACATATCACTCAAGTAATAAATTGGTAGCAGTTAATGCTACGGATGTCGAACCAATAGGGATCAGAGTGTTTTCATTATAGTTTTTGACAGTAAGATTTACCAAAGATTCGAGATGCTAGAAAAAATATTCAATAATACAAGATACCAGTTTATGCTACAACATTCTAGAAAGCAATTGGTGAGCTATCGAATCAAAAGATATAATATTATGACTTCCAAGTTTTATACAAACAATGCACACTTAGTCTATGTGATCAACATTGATTAAAACCATTTGAATTACTTTAATAACTTTCATTAATAAAGGCTCAAACTATTAATAATACTAATCAATTGGCTGCATGCTTTTCATTATACTTATGCTACTCAGCAATACCAATGCTCACAAATGTATATAGCAATTCAAATTAAGTTATTTCTAGATTTAAACGAAAATATTATATATATATATATATATATATATATATATATATATATATATATATATATATTACAAATATTTCTACTCACAATCATGAAGTTCAAATCTCATAAAATAAGTATCCAAGTAAACACGAAATAAGAAAATTCATAATAAACATCCAACAAAAGTTTGAACACTTAAATCACTCACTTTCTCAATAGAAGGCATTGAATGGTGATCCGTTGACCGCTAAAACTCCTCAACAAGCTTCCCTTGTACTGAAATAATCCTTAGAAGAGGACTTAGGTTTCCATGGTTTAGAAATAATTAACGTGGAAAACGGTACTTTGGATCTCTCATAATCGCCACACTTTTTACACCTAATTACCCCCTTTTATAGCTTGGATGAGAATTTCATCGCCCAATAGGAAATGTCCATGTTTCAATTGTTTTCCAGCCATATGACAGCTACCCGAGCCAGCTGTCCCAATCTAGAAGGTTCTCCCAATCATCTGGAGCTTAGACAATGACTACAATATATTATCAACATTTTCTACAGTGTTACAACATCAGTGCAATAGTTTTCAACAGAAAAAAAATAAATTTTAGCCCTTAGCAATCATCGATGCTCCTACCACGCAAAATATGTAAAATTAAGTAATTTTAATTCTAAAATGCTCCTAAACATGCTCAAGTTCAAGATAAACCTAGGTGAAAATCACTACTAAATATAACTCTTTTGGAGAGTTATCAATGCCTTCAAAATCCGGAGTCTATCTATTATGTGCAGAATTATCAAAGGAATGATAATGTGTTTGGCAATACATACAATGCAAATTTCATAATTCATCCAAATATTTCTTATAGAAGTCAGAATGTTGCCAAACACAATATCAGCAGTATTGAAACAACATTATCCGTAGCAGAGTCAAATATCATAGCTATAGACACAACAATCTGTAGCTCAGCCACAACAAAGGCAAAATTACCAAGGTTAATCTTCTAACTAAACATCACCTTTAACACATTTTGAAGCCATGATGAAAGAATATATGGCAAGCCAACATGCCTCACTAAGGGCTATAGAGAATCAGATGGGACAAATGGTTAATGCTCTAAATAGTTGACTGTCAGGTCACTTCTTAGCGACACTGAGAATCCTAAGCAAAATGGTAAGGAGCATTACAAGGCCATTACCATAGGAAGTGGAATTCATATTGGGGAACCAGATGAAGAGTCGAAGGGAAATAATGATGTAGCTTAAAACATGGTAAATAGAAGAGCAAAAAAGTTGAGATTGACTCTCATGAGAGTCAATTGTCAACACCAGATGCAGAACAAGATAGTAATTCAGAATCATTGGCGAAAGAAACCCCTGCTATTTCTGACGCTCAGCCAACTTCAATGCTTTAGCAACAAAAAAATGCCTCCACAATTTCTACAACACTTCAAGAAGAGAAAAGAATATATGTAATACAAGCTTTTATTGATGTTCTTCATCAACATACAATTAACATTCCATTGATTAATGCTTTAGAGCAAAATCTAAACTATATCAAATTCATAAAGGAAGTTATTTCGAAGAAATAAAGACTAGGTGAGTTTGAGACAGTTTCTCTTACCAAAGGTTGTAACGCTATGGCTACAAATCAATTGCCGCCAAAACTTAAGGATCCAGGGAGTTTCAGTATTTCTTGTAACATTGGTGACACATTTGTAGGTGAAGCTTTATGTGATTTGGGTGCTAGCATAAATCTAATTCCATTTTCAATCTTTAGGAAATTTGGGAGCGGCGAAGCAAGGCCCACTACGGTTACTTTGTAACTTACTAATCGATCTACCGTGCATCCTAGTTGTAACCCACTCAGACTGATGCAGATAACCCGATCCGATCTGAAGTGTCACATTAGGCCACAGGAGCGACCTACTGTAAAAATAGCAGAAATTTTAAAAATTTTATTTAAAACATGTAACTTATAAAATGATTTATTAGTATGCAGAAATAAAACACATTTTCAGACTTGTATATAAAACAAAAATACAATTACATGCCTCCTAATCACATGTAGCGTACTCTGCAAGCAACCCCGGAATAACTTCCTTACTGATGTCGATAGATATATTGGTACGATTCTTTTAACCTGCAAATGTGAGTAATAGAGTGAGCTTCGAAAAGCTCAGTAATACAGAACTATCAGATGATGCTGATGAACGTGCAGATACAGATAAACATATATTTTTTTATCGGTTCAGACATCTACAAATCTTTATGTTGAGCAGAAATCCTACTGGTATTTCAAATGGTAACGGGCAATGAGCTTTCAGTTCAAAGATATATTTCAGACGATTGAGTTCAGGAGATCAGAATAGGTTATCTAGTGTTTTCCCGTAAAACCAGTAAAAAGATACATATCTTTTAAAACATATATATATAAATACCCCCAATCGTCACGAACAAAATGTGTAGGTTCCCCAGAACCATACAACCCCATCACATCAAGTAAGGCCCTGAGCACAAAGTCGAGGAGCCTCCAGGTATTCTTCCTCCAATAATACCCCCAAATAAAATATGTTCTATCCGTAAACGAATATATCAAAAATCAAAACATAATTCATGTCAAGTATCATATCAAAATCCAGGTCAAGTATCATATCAGAATCCAAGTCAAGTATCAGATCAGAATCCATGTCAGATATCAAATCATAATCCATGACAAGTATCATATCAGAATTCAAATCGAAAATCAGATAAAATATTCATCTGAGTAGGGAACACACCATAATTTACAAATATTATTCAAAGATATTAGATAATCTTAACTGGTAGAGGAATACGAATCTTTAGTATACCGATAGAATATTATAATTCAGAATCACTATTTGAAAGAGTTCAATAACTGACGAAATCATCAGTTATTCAGAATATGACTTGAGCTGGTAAGGAAGAAATGAAGGTTCATGACCTTTACAATCTATGTCGATTACTCGGATTATCGAACAACTCCAGATGAATAGCTCCCAGGACTAATAATTGTCAATTCATTAACCTTCCCGGGTATTTACTCTTTAATACCAAATATTCTTATCCATAGATCATCTTCCAAGTCATCACTGAACATATCATAAGGAGACTAACATATATTCCAATGCTCTTAATTTCATGTTCACGGTTCCACTATATCATGAACTGCTGACGTGCTTGATTTGTAGTTCATGATCCATAATAACATTACATCATGTATGTTCATTAACATTTCTAGACTCATCCAAATCACTTAGTTAATCCTTAGTCATTGAGGTTACTTATTTCACTTAGTATTCAAGTTTATTCCAGTTACTTCAGAGTTTTCCAGGGTAATCCAGACGTTTCTGAATTTCAGATACATATTGTACTTCCGTTCGATTCAATTTGGTCTTCGTGGTTGATTTGTTAAGCGAATATCCATTTCTTATTACCGAATGTGATCTAGAGCTGAGCTGAGCTGAGTACTTCTAAAATTATCATCGAACCACACTTGAGAAGACGAACACACATTCAAATGATACCTATGTCGTTCAGGTACTGACATATCATTACGGTTGATCGGCTCACTTAAGTTATTCCATAACTTCTAAAGGTAGTCCAACACCTATGCTTATTTGGATTACTTAATTAATCCAAGACATTTACTTAGTATAGGCCATAAGGGTATTTTGGTCATTTTGGTGTTCAATTTTATTCCATTCATTTCAGAGCTCGAGGATATCAACTTATTCCTGAGCTTGGTGATATTCTTGGTCATTTGCATTCTAAGGGTATTCTGGTCATTTTATAGATCCATTGTAGTCCAATAATTCTTTCTGTCCGATCTTATTATTAAATTCAAACTTATCATTTATGTCAGTTCCATCAAACTATTCTGACAGATCCGATGTATTTCAATCCTTTCCATCCATCTGATCTTATTATTTAATTCAAATGTATCATCTTTTCCAGTCCTTTTGAATAGTTCTGAAAAAAGAACACCCTTGATAATTTATTCTTCAAGTATTTACTCATAACTCGGATATTTTCGGGTAAAGTGTCTTCTCATATTTTTACCAACAGAATATCAGGAATTTTCTGTACAAAGACGGGATCTTAACAATTAAATCCGTAATTTATCGAGTTAAGTACGAATCCTCAAAGTACTTTCTCATTCAAGGTCAACTCAGACTATTTTACCT